AAAGCACTCTAGAAAGTCACCTTTCTTCTCCAACAGGAGAAAAATGCATGCAAACTTTGAGGGGCTTTGATGTAAAAGTAAAGAGGTTGAAAGGATAATATGAAAAAGTCAAGAAAAAATATACTACCACTCTAAATAGAAGGGGAATACCATTTCAAACTAACTTTAGTTTGGAAATAATGGAAAAATGGTGGTAAGGTCTTTCTTACCGGATGGATGAAATTTCCCTCCTCTCTTCTATATTCTATAGGAAAATCTATCAATAAAGGTTTGTTTACTGATTCTTACTATATTTGTGGTCTTAAATAAGTAAACACCAGTAGGGTTGGGAAATGTACACTGGTGGAGGGATGGATGTTGGAATACTGTATGACTGAAATCCAATCATGAACAGCTTTGTAATGATCTATCCTTACAGTGATTCAATTTTTAAAAAGTGGAAAAAAAGAAAGAAAAAAAGAAAGAAAGAAAAAAAGAAAGAAAGAAGGAAAGAAAGAAAGAAAACACCAGTAGGTTCTTTGGCTTTATACTGCCTGTCCTTCCATACCCTGTATATCTTAGCTACTATCCTTATCCTATTCTCCTCCACCTTTGTTTTCTTATTTTGCAAATTTAGGAATTTATTTATTTTTGGCTTGGGGGGTGACACTCAGCGATGCTCAGGGGTTACTCCTGGCTCTGTAGCACTGTCCTCTCGTTGTTCATCGATTTGTTCGATCGGGCACCAATAATGTCTCAAAACAAATTGTGAGACTTGTTACTGTTTTTGGCATGTGAACAATGACCCAGTACGTCACAAGTAGCTTGCCAGGCTTTGCTGTGCAAGCGAGATACTCTCAGAAGCTTGCCGGGCTCTCTGAGAGGGGCGCAGGAATTACTCATGCGGTGCTTGGGGGACCACATGGGATGCTGGGGATCAAACCCAGGTCGGCTGTGTGGAAGGCAAATGCCTCACCCACTGTATACTGCTCCAGCCCTAAATTCCATCTTCTGTCTCCTAGCTTATATGATTCTCAGAAGAAATTATAAGTATATGACTAGCAGGCATGATATACATATCAAACTGTCAAACACTGTCCTCCCATTGTTCATCGATTTGCTCAAGCGGGCCCAGTAACATCTCCATTTTGAGACTTGTTGTTACTGTGTTTGGCATATCGAATACGTCACGGGTAGCTTGCCAGGCTTTGCCAAACAGGAGAGATACTCTAGGTTAAGTTGTTGGGCTCTCCGAGAGGGGCAGAGGAATCGAACCTGGCTCGGCAGGACTGGCGGCGTGCAAGGCAAATGCCCTACCACTGTGCTATCACTGCAGCCTTGCTATCGCTCCAGCCTGATATATATATGCGTATATATGTATGCATATATATATCAACTATATACACATAAATGAAATTAGCCCAAGAAAGCTGAAAAATAGTTCTGAGAAGAGAGACTGCTCACAATGATACTAGTCTTTTCCATCTAATTGGGAGAACAGAGAGCATCATGGTGTCTTCAAAAAAGATTTGAGGTTTGGTGAGTCAAAAATACAAAAAGAAAAATGGAAGATTTTCTTTTTTTGAAGATAAAGTGAATAGCAGTGTTACCTGGGGAACCAGGAAACAGATTTCTTTTGATTTTTTTTTTTTTTGCGGGGGACACACCCAGCGGTGCTCAGAGGTTATTCCTGGCTCTATACTCAGGAATTACTCCTGGTAGACTCAGGGGATCGTATAGGATGCCAGGGATCAAAATAGATGTCTGCACGCAAGGCAAACCTCAGTGTATTATCAAACAATCACTCTGACCCCAGGAAACAGATTTTTGCATAGCAAAAAATTAAGGGTAAGAAAAAATATGAATTAATGCTGTTTCACATTTCCTTTAAATTTTAAACACTGACACAACTGTCTTTAATCTTCTTAGCCATTTCTGTTCTGCAATATTCTTTTACTACAATCCAGTATCTTCTAAAATAACAAATTCTGAATTAATAAAATTTTTGTGATTTGTGACTGCATCTTCAATTGTTTCTATATGAAGCCTGGGGGAAAGGAAGGAGGATAGATCAGTCACTGCATAATAACTGTCTGCCCAACAAAAGACAGGCATAGATGGTGCTTGCCTCACATTAGGACAACTTAGCCTGGAAGCCCACATGCAGTCCCCTGAGCACCTCCAGGAGTGATCCCTGAGAGTCATAGAGTAAGTCCTGAGCACTACCAGGTGTGGTCCCCCCAAACCAAAAAAAAAAAAAGAGAGAGAAGATGAAAGAAATACACATCAGGTTTAGAGAGATCGCTCACAGGACTGAGTGCATGTTTGCAAGCAGGCGGTATGGTTCCATCCTGGGGCACTACATGGTGTCCCAAACACTGCCCTAAGTGACCACAAGCAAAGAACCAGGAGTACCCCCCAAGCACCACTAGATGTGGCATAAACCCTGCCTCCCCAATACACAAGTATGTCCATGTAAGTGACTCCTATGTAAGTCACCAGATGAACGAGGCCCAACTCTAACATGGGGTGGGAAAAGATTTTAGCACAAGAAATTAGTGGAATCACTGCAAATTTCATAATATTTATTTGGCTATTTCAATTCGGAATCAACTGTGAAAGAAAGATGATAGTAATGCAAAAGCATACTGCTTGCTTTGTACAGTTTTCTCTGAGGAGCCCAGAAGGTACCATTAACTGCACCAACTTCAAAGATAGATGAACTCTGACAGCTGCCATAACATTGCAAATGTGCAATAATTTATGCACATTCGATAGACATTAACAAAATGACCCTTCAGGTACTTTAAGCATATTACCATAATATCTTCATACTGAAAGCAACATCTTAATGCTCTAAGTCCGAGGTCAGAGAGATAGTCCAGTGAGTAGGGCACTTGCCTTGCATAAGGCTGACATGGGTTCAATCCCTGGCATTGCTGGGCTTGCCAGGAGTGACTCTGGAGTGCAGAGCCAGGAATAAGCCCTGAGCACCACTGGTTGTGAACCACCCCCCCAAAAAAAATCAGAAAAAAAAGGGAAAAAATAAGATGATCTAAGTCAGTCCCCTGCAATGAGGAAACTTAAAGACTCAAAAGGGATCTGAATAACAAGCACAGCAAAGAAAGAAAATAAAAGCTTACATTTTTAAAGCAGAGAATTAAAAAAAATCAAATCAAAGAGGATCAAACCCTTTAAGAAAGCATCCTTCGACTTCATTTTAACACACACACACACACACACACTTTGTACCTCTGTACTCACGCTTTTATTCATACCATATCAAATTAGGTTTTTTCTCAAACACACATGCATTCTCTCTGGCAGACATGCTACCACACTGTTCTTTCATTTTATGTCAATGCTATGTACCACAACTTAAATGTTTTCATAACATTTCACAAAAAGGTGCTTAAGCTCATCAAGTAAAGCATGTCAACTAATCCTCATTCTAATATAACCTACTTCTACGTTTAAAAAAATCAGGAGCAGCATACTCTAAAAGGAAAGACCTTTACCTAAGAAATTAAAAAATAGAGGTGAAGAGCCTAGAATTTTTGTCTCTGCCCCTCCAAGAAAGGGGAATACGTGATACCCAAAACAAAGTATGTGTGGAATGGAATAAGACCTGCACCATCAAGCTGCCAGAGGTTTTCTGTCAGCAGTGCTCAGCGAGAGCGAAACAGCCTATCAGAACAAAAACATAAAATACGTAGTTTAGAACAAAACCAAAATCTTTCTTTAAAAATGAATTTCAGTGACGCTTCTGATCTTTGCTTGAATAAGAGAAAAAGGAATATTGTATACCAATCTAGATTGGCCCAGGGTGCCTCCCACACGTGGAAGGTGAGCTACCTGTTTATCCAGGAGGATAAAACAGGACAAGCTGATGCCCATTTAATCAAGGAGAAAAAAAAGAGGCCTGGAGAGACAGCAGAAGGGGTTAAGGTGCTTGCCTTGCATTATCCCTGAGCCCTGTTTGCTCCCTGGCACCACGGGGTTCCCAGAGCAACCCCCAAGCACTACCAGGTGTGCCCCAACCCTGCTCCACCTGACCACCCAAAAAAAAAATTAAGTCATCAGAGACTCAGTGGCCTGTACCGGTTGTTCGGACACCTGATCATTTCCTTTTGTAGACCAGTTCTACAGCACTATGTGGTGTGTATACACTAGGAAAAAGAATTCAGACCAGCCAGATATTTTTTCCCGGATTAACACAATGACTTTCTGGTTAATAAGATTCTGGTGCTTTTTTAACTCAATTTGACATTCTATTGATAAAACTGTATCTAGCCTGCAAAGCTATGGAAACTCGCACTACACAAACTCTACGAATAATAGATTCCTCTTATATATATCCAATTTGAAACACTAAATTGGTTTATCCACTACAATGAGGCAATTCCAAGTTAAATATAAATAAGATGCTTTATTTATTTATTTATACTCTTTAGCCCACTCCTCCTTTCCCTTCTCGCCTCTTTTTTGTTCCTCCCCATCTTCCTTTCACCCCCAACCCAAGGGAATGTAAGCAGGAGTCAGGAAACTTTCTCTGTAAGGGCAGGACAGAAAATAGTTTGGGATTTTCAGGATTCTGAAATTCTAGCAAAACAATCATCAATCCATAAATAAGTGGGCATTACATTTCAAAAAAAACTGTTTATAAAAACATGCAGTAGGACATATTTGATTCATGGGACTTTAGTATGTCAATCGATGGCAGAGAGCAGTTCTCAAACGTTAGCTTGCCCAGAAATAATTGTAGTATGGGAAGTATAGAGATTTCTGGGCCAATACTAAAATCTGATCCAGCTGGTCTGCTGTCCTGTTTTAAATAAGTTTCCAAAACACTAACGTAGGTGGTTCAGAGAGAACACTCAGAGAATAACTGAGTACACAATAATGACTGGTACACAAAATGACTATATTCAGTGAAAGGTTAAAATATAATAAACAACAAAGAAGGTAGAATAGACATGCTATAAACTGTACTGTTAATTTTATAGATTATGCAGACTTACTGTTAAGTGCCATAATGTTATCTGTTCCTGGATGATGGAAATTTATTCCCATACGTCCTGAAAAATAAAATAATTTTGTTTTGAGCACAAAAACAGCTTAATATAATCAATTCAAATACAAGGTAAGATATGAACATTACAAAAAAAACACAAAATTAATCTATAACAATACCGTCAAATACCACAGCCATTACAATAATTTTTAAATAAAGTGATAAAACATACACATGAAGAAATTTAAAACAAAGCCAAAGTCTCAATAACAAATAAATTAAAACAGAAAAGCTTGTATAATAGTATGAAATTTTAACACATTTCCCGCATTCCAACTTAAACATGCCAATTCCCTTGATTAAATATTTCATTTACAAGCATTATACTACTCTTCAAACTCAAGCAGCAAAAGAAAATCACTTCTAATAAGTTTATAAATTTGAAGCTCAGAAAGAAATAAAAATAGAAATATTTCAAAGTGGCTCAAAAATGCAATGTAATTATCAGAATGTCAACCAGAAAATGGTAAAAATTATGAGATATAGCAGGGAACAGAAAATCTAGGTTTCTTAAGCTTCCCTGATAACTAACTAATCATTTATATGACCTTGGGCATAATGTTCATTTCCAGACCAACATTCTTACTGAAATAGGAACTGCAAAGTTCTATTCATGTTGGCTGCCTAATTTATTTATACGTTACTCAGCTGAGAATCCTTTTAAACATTTTTTATATGTTATGGAGCCTCAGTGACCCTTCAAACCTCTAATATGTAGTGTCTGGCCTTTTACAGGCAAGTTTATCAACCTTTAGATCCATATGATTAAGTCTAAAATCAGGTTTTTCAAATATTCACTTCTGGAGTAGAGTGCAGGACACAGATATCTGACATGCTTATCCTCAATTATTTCAGAAAAGAAGATGGAAATTTCAAAAAGAAAGTTGAAATACGAATCTTCTATGGGAAAGATTCATTTTCCTGATTAACTCCCTAAACAAGATTTACTAAAACAAGGTTTTTATGTAAGCTACCATAACACATTTTTATTTGGCTGTGCAAGGTGTCTGTTTTGTTTTGTGGTACTGGGGACAAAAAGCCAAGAATTACACAAGCAAGTCCTCTATACACGCCTGAGCCTCTGCAAGGTTTTAATTTTCTATTACTGTCATTGTTTAAATAAAGAAATGTTAAGAATATATGGTAAGCAAGAGATTCTGAGAAAACTGGAGATAAGGCAGAAATGACTGACTTCTACATTAGTGATACATAACCGTACGTGGCCAGTCATCATTTGATATTAAACAATATAAAAAGGGTGGTGGAGACAAACAGTATTGTCAAGCTCCTGTGATCCAAAGCATGCATTTGCTTCAGACAGAAAGGAGAATCATAAATTCCTCAACAAATCAAGTTTTATGACATAATAAGGTCAAACTAATCTTTTAAAGATCCTCAGGTCATGGGGCTGGATCGATAGTACAGAGGGTAGGGCGTTTGCCTTGTACGCGGCCGACCTGGGTTCGATTCCCAGCATCCCATATGGTCCCCAGAGCACTGCGAGGAGTAATTCCTGAATGCAAAGCCAGGAGGTAACCCCTGTGAATCGCGGGGTGTGACCCAAAAAGCAAAAAGCAAAAACAAACAAAAAAAAATCCTCAGGTCAGATTGATCTGTAAAAGATTATTTCAAATGAAGAGAGAGAGGAAAAAACGAAAGTCTCAGAAGTATAATGTCACTTGTCCTTGTGTGTGTGTGTGCGAGAGAGAGAGAGAGAGAGAGTATGTGTGCGTGATTAACAAAGGAAACATCAAACAACTGGATTCTAATTTTACCATAAAACATGGTATGGCTTTCAATAAAAAAGTACTATTTTTGAAACTTCTAATCAGTAAGAAGATGCTACACCCATCTTTATCTCTAGTTTGTGGAGACTTTTTTCAGGAGTGTGGATTTTCCCCCTCACTTGTCAGTACTCAAGGATTACTCCCAGCTCTGTGCACAGGAATCACTCCTGGTAGGATTCCGGAGATTTTATATGTGAAACCTGGGATCCAACCAGAGTTGGCTGTATGCAATGCAAGCATCTTGCTTCCTGAACTCTCCCCTCCAGCCCTGTGAAGATTATTTAGTTAGAGTTTATAATACAGTAAAAATTATTTTTTAGTATTTTCTGTTGTTGCTATTTTGAGGTCACACCCATCTGTGCTTGGGGTTTATTCCTGGATCTGTGTTCAGGGCTCTCTACTGGTAAGGCTCAGGGGACCATATGTGGTGCTGGGCATCAAATCAAATGGGAGTTAGATGCATGCAAGGCAAGCTCCTTACCCCCTCCACTATCTCTCTGGCCCTAGAATTTACTTGAATATTTTCTACAGAAAAAAAATCGTATTAGAGGCCTGGAACAGTAGACAGCAGGTAGGGTGCTTGCTTGCCATACATGCAGCCAACCCAGGGTCAAATCCTTGCACCCCATGGTCCCTTGAGCACTTCCAAGAATGATCCCTGAGCTGGAGGACTTTTACTAAGCAGGAGGAAGCCCTCAGCACTGCTGGTATAGCCCCACACACAAACACACAAAGTAAAGACTCATCTCTACAATTGCCTGCTCTACTTTTTATAGATCTTGTAGATTGTTTTATACTTACTATAAGCTAATTATTAGAAGTTCCAAAAGCTAACATTAAAAGACCCATTGAAGGGTCAGGGACAGAGTTCACTGGGACATCCAGGTTCAATTCCCAGTGCCAAATGGTCTCGACTACTCAAGGAGCGAGCCCTGAACACCTTGGCTGGAGTAGCACCTGAGCATCAATTATGCCCCAAACTGGATCCTTTTTAGAAATTTTTTTATTAGCTCTTAGGACTTGACTTTTCAGTTGGCGTTACTTCTGCTTCTAAAAGGAAGTTTAGGGGGGTGAGGGATGATGGGAGGGAAACTGGGAACATTGGTGCTGGGAAATGTACACTGGTGGAGGGATGGGTGTTGGAATAATTTATGACAGAAACCTAATCATGATCAGCTTTGTAAGGATATATCTCAAAGTGATTCAACAAAAAAGTTAAAAAAAATAAAAGCATGAAAGGAAGTTTAGAAGTTTTCTAGCTATCATTCTCTACATCAGCATTTCTCAACCAGGGGCCTGGGTGGGAATCATATAAATGAAATGGGGATGGGGAAGGTACGAGTACAGCACGGAATTAACAGACGAACAGATCAAAAAAGTCAAGAGAAAGATTTCAGTCCTAGGGAGAGGGATGAATGGGCTGAGTCCCACGTGCCTTGAAGCACTGCTAGGGAATGGCACCAAACATAGTATGGGGATTAGCCCTCAAGCACTGTCAGGTGTGGCCCCCAACAAAACACACTCCCCCCCCCAAAAAAAAAGGGTTTTGAAGCTGGAGATATGGTATAGAGGTTAAGGTACTATCTTGCATGTGCCTGACCCAGTCCAGAATATAGATGGGTCAAATCCCACAGGAAATAAATAGCCCAAGGTCTCCAAAGCACTTCCTGGAAGCTGCTCCCGACAAAACTAAAATGACTTTACCAGCAGCCCAGGGTCAACGCCAGCTCCACCAGAACCAATTACTTCAACATAATCAAAGTCTGTACCAACTAAATGTGAATTATTTTAAGTAAAATCAGTTATGGCCTCCTTAAGCTAGCTTTTTTCTACTTAAAAAATTGTTTAAAAGCTAGGGGGCCAGAGTAAGAGGACAGCAAGGAGGGCACTTGCCTTGCACATAGCCAACCAGGTTCTATCTCCAGCATAGGGTTCCCTGAACCCACCAGGAGTGAACCCTGAGTGCAGAGCCAGGACTAAGTCCTGAGAACAGTCAGGTGTGAACAAAAAGCAAAACAAAACAAAAAAAAACTTTAGAAAACAAAATGCAACCTATTTTTAAATTAAGGAAGGATGAAACAATACAGAAAAATGCAGAAAACTCAATCCAAGGAAAGCACTGTTATTTGTTTGGTATATAATCTTCTCATTTAAGAAATGCACATATAAGAAGCTTTGTTTCTAAAATTGAGACAATTTTATAATTTAATTTTTTTACTCAATATGTTGTGTCTTAAGTTTTAAAGTTACTGTGAGATTGCAGAAGAGAAATAAAATACAGCAAAGCAAAAGAAAAACATTCCAAATTCAGATGAGGTGATTTTGTTTTTTTTTTTCTTTTGTCCAACAAATACTGTTTAATCAGCTGTGAAAATAGAATCAAGTGTGTGACATCTGGTGATTTTTGTTAATGCAGCCTGGAGCAGCCAGCATGACATTTTGTCACCTGTCCATGGTCTGCTATTTTTAAATTGTTCTTGTCAGCGAGCTATCGTTTTAAGTATAGTGTAAAATATGAGGTTTCAAAAACTGGAAGGCATACTGGTTTTCCTGAGTAGAATGATGCAGAGGATAAATGGGGGTGAGAAGGGATAAAAGGAAGCTAAAGAAAAGATATGGTTATTAAGATTTGAAAATAATTACAGTATCACAATTTCATTCACATTTTAAAAACTTACTTTGAAAAAAACTACTGTTATTTGAGGTTCAAGCCTACACTTTGTGCATTCAAAATAAAAATTAGAACTTTTACTGCTTCATAACTAACTAGGAAGGTCGCCTCTTCATTTCTGCAATATGTTATGAGAAAGGAAATGACTGCCGTATCCTCTCCAATCATCCCCTCTGCTTTTATATGTCAAATTCTTCAAAGAGCAATACAGAACAAAGTGATGTTTTGCTGTTCCTCAAAAACGGCTGTAAGACAAAATACAATTCTAGTAGGTTCAAATTTCCTACCGATTTTTATTCTATCAAGTGGATGGTATATCTTTTCAGAAAAGTATCCACAAGATCTACTAGCAAGATACATATAGTCGCCACAAAGCAGCTTTTTAAATTTCCTTTGAGAAAAATATTAGAAGCTTATTACTAAAGGACAAGGGGTGTGGTTTTTGTCCTTCAACCACACAAAAGCTTAACACTAAAATATTCTAAATAGGTCCCAAATTAAAAAACAACAACAACAACAAAAACCCACAATAGCTCTGAGTTTAGA